AAAGCCTCCCTAAACGCTGGGGCCTAACCATGTAGGGGGGTGGCTGGGCACGGCTGCAGCTCCCAGGGAGAGCAGCCCCGGATCCATGCCAGCTCCCCTGGGTCCCCCGCTGCGCCCCCGGGGTCCTGCTCGGGAGGGAAGGCACGGCTCAGTTCGCAGGGACAGTGACAGTTTGCAGCTGAGCTTTGACCTGTGAAGCTGAGTTTTCATGTGGAGGGGACTTGGCCCTTCCCAAGCAGGGAGAAGCTGGAAAAAGGGCTCCTTTTGCCAAAAAAAAAAAAAAGGGGGGGGGGGGATTAGCGAGCTGCTGGGACACACAGCTCACCCTCAACAAAGAGGAAATCCTGCAGAGAGCCTGCTTATCCTCCCGCACGTCAGGCTGGGGCTGAACCTTCATCTCATCATCCTGTAACCAACAGCCAATTAGCCAAAAACTTAATTTCCCTTTAAAAGTAAATTCCGCCCCCCCGACTCCTGGGGGTTCCTATCCCCGCTCCGTCCCTCCGGGAGGAATGTGCAGACCGCAGCCATCCGCCTCCTCAGCCCTCGCTTCGCTAGACTAAACAAGCCGGGCTTTCCTGGTTTCCTCCTGCGCTGAACTCCATCGGGTCTTGGCCAGCCCTCTCCTCGCCTAAACCACTGAGCCAAGACCCCCCATCCCACATACGGGGGGACCCTGGGACACAGCAGGGTGAAACACCCAAGGGCAGAGGGGGGACTGGGGCCAGCGCCGTGTCCCTGAGCCCTGCTGAGCCCCCTACACCCTTGGCTACCCTGGCCATAGCGACATTCCCACCGTGGCCAGGGAAAGGGAAGGCGTCCGTGCCCAGCGGACACGTGGGCACCTCCGCCTTCGGTAAGCAGCTCCCCGGCCCCGTATTTACTTTTGGGGATCCACCCAGCTCGGGTGCTACGTGCGGAGAGGAGCCAACACCACCCGAATTTACAGGTGAGACCTTCCTGGAGTTGGGGTCAGAGCAGGGCATGTCCCTGTCCTGAGTGTCTCCCCAGCACCCCGATCCCACCTCCCTCCTCCCCACGGTGACGTCTGGCCGACCCAAAAGTGGGACCGCGGTCCCTTCGCTTGGGCTAGAAAAGCCCGACTTCAGGATCGCCGCCCTGCAGACCCTGCAGTTCGCCCTCGGCTTTGCAAACCTCCCTTAAAACGATGTCTAAAATAAAACACAAGCCACCAAAGCCCAAATTTTACACCCAGCAGCTGCCATCCCCTGGAAACCCCCGCAGCCATTGTGGGATCATGCCCAAGCTCAGCCTTTCCAAAATTTGCGCATTAAACCCTGATGCAATTCACACCGGGATTTGCGGAGGTTCCTCCCCATCCCCACGGACGCTCGTGGGGCCGGCCTCGGCGCGTCTGGGCTCCGCACAGGGCCCCGCGGAGGTTTCCCCGTCGGAGCGGTTTCCCTCTCCGCCTCCAACTTTCTCTTTTTCCATGAATTCGTCAGCCTCCCCCCACCCGCCGCCTCGTCTGCAAATGCAAACCCAGACATCGCCGCGCACATCTGTGCACATCTGGGCTTGCGTTATGAGCCGCGCAGGCTCGGGGTAATCCAGCTTGGGGGCTTTTAACCATCTGGTTTGGGGTTTTTTTTTAGCCGTTACCTGGATCAGACCGCTCAAAGCTAGACGCTGAGGTTGAGCCGGGCAATGCCGCTTGGAAAACACCGAGTGAGGCTTTAAGATTGGCTGCTTGCACCCTCCTTCGTCAAAGCAACGACCCCTCCAGCTCCGGTTGGAGACATCCCGGGAAAATTGGCTGCCAAAATACCCGTCAGCCGACGGCTGCGTGCTCCTGCCTCCCACCGTGGTGGCCACACCGCTTTCCCATCCTACCCTACGGCCCATCTCGGATGCCATCAATAGGACTCAGCCATTAACCGTGGGATTTTATGGGCCAGTAGGAAGATTTATTAGGTTCATTATTCTGGCATGCTAATGAGGGTGCAGTTAAGCACAGTCAAAGTCAAGGCTGGCTTGACCTTCTCCCAAAGACTGCTGCAAATGTGGGAGGCGATGGGTGCTGCTCATGGGTGCTGGTCTTGGGTAGGCGATGGGGAGATGACGGATGCTGGTGATGGGGAGGTGATGGGGAGGTGATGGGTGCTGGTCATGGGTGCTGGTCATGGGTGCTGGTCATGGGGAGGTGATAGGTGCTCGTGATGGGGAGGTGATGGGTGCTGGTGATGGGTGCTGATCACGGGGAGGCGATGGGGAGGTGACGGGTGCTGGCAATGGAGAAGTAATGGGGAAGCAAAACCCCCCAGCAGCTTCCGGCTTCTCTCAGTCCCAAGGGACACCCAGGACAGAGTAACCCCTTCATCCTTAGCGAAGTGACCCAGGGTCCCCCCGCCTAGCCCACCCTCCTTTTGGAGCTCAAGCAGCTGCCCCTGTACCTTGAACAAACACTTCAATTCCTCCTGGGCTTTGAAAGCACCCGGTTATCTGATGGTGTTTGCTTCTCCCAGCTGGGTTCGAGCCAGCTCCCCCTCCTCTTGGCTCCTTGCTTGGCTGCCCGGGGCTTTTTCACAGCAATTTTGATTCGATCTTATTAAATCTGGAGCAGAACAGCAAGCGCAGGCAATTAGACAGACAATTAGGGAGCAGCTCGTTGCACAAGAGGAGCTGCCAGGACCTCCCCTCCCCGAAACGCGCTCGCAGGGCGAGTAGTGCTGTACCTCTCGCCAGACAGGTTCCCGGCTCGGCTCAGCCGATTCCTCCCTGCAACTGCAGCATTTAACGTGCCCAGAGTTTTTTCCAGATGAAGTTTTCCTCGAGGCGGTGAGCTCCTCCCAGACTTTGTCCCACCTGGAGAGCCCATTTCC